TTATAAATGAATGCTTTTCTTTTTTTCTTAACTGTGATTAGTTTAATGTGGGCTATAGGAGAAGGGATGAATGCAAGGAATAATTGGTCTGTAAGGGTGTGTCTAGACTACAGACTTTTGTCGACAAAAGTGGACTTTTGTCGACAAAACTATACCTGCGTCTACACTACCGCTGAGTTCTGTCGACATAACGTCAACAGAACTCAGCAGTTTTGTCGACGCTGGTAAACCTCATTTTACAAGGCATAACACCTTCTGTCGACAGAGTTCTGTTGACAGAAGGTGTTATTGCATGTAAACTGTTCTTGCGTCTACACTGCCATGTCGACAAAGCAGCTTGCTTTGTCGACAGAACTGAATGTAGTGTAGACGCTCTTTGTCGACAGAAGCTTTGTCGACAGTATCTGTCAACAAAACCCTGTAGTCTAGACGTACCCTAACTGTGTTATGCCGGCATAGGCATTCCTTCAGTGGGACTATTTTTGATGCTGTGCAGTTCCATGGATTCCTATCTTTCAACTCTTATGTTGAAAATGTGTCATTTTTTAGCCAATAAAAACAAATGGTAACTAACGGACAGAGGAGCTTAGGAACCTCCACTCATGTTGACTTCAGTAAGTCTGCTACAATCTTTACAGATTTCTGTGAGCGTTGCGAGCACTCATCACCTTCAGGGCCTACCCACAAGAAGGGCTGCTTACTTTTGTGCATTCAGAGGAACCCTGGATGAAATCCTGGCTTCACTGAAGACAATGGCAAAATTTCTATTCATGTTATAGGAGTCTTCTAGATGGTCAGGGCTTGTAGAGGGGCTCTTCCCCTTCTAGGTCAGTGGGCGGCCACTCTGCCTAAGACCACGGTGCCCCATTAGTCCTGGATTTTGGCCAATGATCAGCCTGGTTCAAGGGGTAATAGGTCAGTTCAGGTCGTTAGGCAAACTGTCATTAATTACAGTTAATAGCTCAAGCGCTGGTTCAGGGCAAGGCAGCAAAGCAACCAAACAAACAGCTGGGTCTCTTTGCTCGGGTGGAGATCCTGCAATCTCAGGCAGTTGTCCTGGAGTGGTTGAGGGGGGAGACAGCAACCCGATGGTTGAGTAGCTGGGGGGGACACAGGCCACCCACTCCATTGTGTCCCAGCTCGGAGACCTAACAGCAGCAGAGTGGTCTGCTGCTGGGCCAGCAGGATCCAGACTACATTATTCTGACCCTGGCTCTAGCTCAGCCAAATAGTGGTCTGCTATCTCTGGGCCACTTCCATTCTCCCCCTCCACACATACCTGGTTCTCCAGTCAGTTCACTGGGGTGTTGAGGGTCAGTAGCTCCAGTAGCAGTCCCAGGAGTCCAGGCCAGTCCTCAGGCTCCTGCAGGCAGGGTGGTCCAGGCCAGTCTTCAGCCTCCGGCAGGCACTGGAATCCGGGTCTCCCAGCCTGGGGGCAGAGAGCAGATGTCTGATTCCTCTGCTGGCTGGCTCTCCACTGAGCTCCTGGGCTGGCTTTTTAAAGCCAGGATCATGCCTCCTGACTTCTGGTCATGTGAGGGGGTGGGGTGAGGCTCAGCTCAAGAGAGCTCGGAGGGGCTTTTCCCTTTCCGGGTCAGTGGGAAACCACTCTGCCCCACTACAAGTCTTGAATTCTGAAGTATTATATGAAGTAGGTACACAGATTGTGTCCTCACTTATTGATAAGCTCTAGACCAAAGGATGTTCTCGCGAGAGGTTAGCATTGCTATATTTCTTTCCTTGTTCTTAGGCATAGTTTGAGTTAAGTATAATGAGGTGGTATGGTATTATTTTTCATGTAGTTACAATAAAAAGAATCATCAATGATCAGGTTTTTCCTTTATACAAACAACTTAAATTCATTTGGAGTAAACAGAAACACATAGCAATAAATGATGACATATTCAAGTAGCCAAGATAGAAATATTTTATTTGGGAGAACAACATCAGCACACATCTGTTAGGCAGCCTGTGCTGAAGAATAGAAACTCCACAAGGGAGAAGAAGGGGTTCAGGACCAGCTCTGGGCACAGATGACCCTGTTCTGCTGCTATTGCAATGTCTGTACAAGCTCAAGGAGGAGCTTAACTGCTTCACTTAAAAAGGGAAGTGGAGCAGTTCAGAGGAAGGCAGACAGCTTAAGGGAGCAGGACCGTGCTCCGAGTGCTTGGGAAGGGGTACCTCAGGAGCTCTTTCTGGGTGAGGCTTGGAGATCCTGACCTGACCTGCATAGGAGGGACTGGTGACTTTTGAAGGCCAGAGACTTTCCTTTGGGTTCAGTTCTTTTTCCCTATAGAAAGAGGGGATGCAGGGAGGAAGTGATCTAGGGAGGCAGCTGTGTAGTACCCCACGATAGAGGTCTTAGCTTCTTACCATTGGACCCTGGATCAGAGCTGGTGGAGAGGGTGGACCCTACCAACTCCTAAGGAGAGACAATGTCAGAAGTCTATCACTTGGCGCACAAGCTAATTGGGTAAGATCCTGAAGGCGCAAGGATCCAAACCCTGAGACCTCAATGCAAGGGGGAAGGTCCCGAAGCCCTTGCTGACTTGTGAGGATTTTTCACACATTGGACTCGGTGGCCTGGAATGTGTTACCCAATTGAAGAGATGAGTTTCTAAAAAGGAAAGACCCTCGATGGTGAATCTATAGTGAGAGAGAACAGCTAGGCGGCCTCGCCTCTAGGTATAATACTAGGTATAAGAGTGTTCCATTCTAAGATGAACAGTGCAAGTCATTTTAATTATATATAAGCTGTTTGATAGCCCAGTCATGTTTATTGCCCTTCTCTGCATTTTTCCAAATTCTAATATATCTTTTTTGAAATGAGATCAGTCTTGCATGCAGTATTTAAAGTGTGGGCATACAGTGGTTTTACATTGTGGCATTATGGTATTTTCTATCTTAGTATCTATCCCTTTCATAATGTTTCCTAAGATTCTGTTTGTTTGGTTTTTGAGTTGCCACAGCATGTTGAAAGGATATTTTCAGGAATTATCCATGGCTATTATCCACTCTGGCACTTTGAGTGCAGAAGGTGGGGGCCTGCAAGAGACTTTAAAATCCCCTGCCACTAAAGGCTTCTGCTTAAAACCTCTCTGAGGTCACAGATTCCCTGGCCTTAGGTGGTATACTTCCACTACCCAAGTGCAAAACCACCTTTCAGAACCCAGTAAGATGCACGTGGGAATTTCTTCCTGGGGGGTACCCACAAGCTCTTTAACCCTCCCTCAGGAGAGAGCTTGGGAGGGAAAAAAACAACCTATAATTTCTTAATAGCTTACCTTTCAGTTTCAGGCATGTGCACACACTGAACCTCCTGCCTTCTAGAGCACAAAATCAAATCATAGTCTTAGAAAGGTGATTTTTATTAAGAAAACAAAGAAAGCGTACTTGGTAAAACGTACTTGGTTGCTAGGTGTTACAAAGCAACTGAAAAAAGGCATATTAAAACACAGAGACATGCTTCCCTGGGATTCCGTTTAAAAATTACAGAGTACAGAGGGGGAGTACATGGGCTCAGCACAGAGGAGTTTAATAAACCCCACAATAAAGAAAAAAATGGATTGTGCCTAACTAAACATTCTCTATTCTACTTACATCTCTGTTTTTCCAAGGTTTAGTCTTTACCTACTTATGGCTACCACTGGCAATTCCATGCCTTGTTCCTGGGTTAACTCATCTCTCCCAGCTTTTGCCCCAGTCACACAGAAGGGTCCTGCTTCAATTCAAAACTCACACTCTTTTCATTGGCTCTTCTGGCTCCCTGCCAACATTTCCTAGATACTCTCAAGTATCTGAATTTAACCCTTGCGAACAATATAATTAACTGAATGGCTCGGATGTCCAGAAAAGGGTAGTATCCTTCCCATTTATCATAGACTCCAAGATCTTTTTTGAGTAGTAACAGCAAATACCCATCATTTTGTATGTATTAGTGAGATTATTTTTTCTAATGTGGATTACTTTTCACTTATTAGCGTTGAATTTCATCTGTCATTTTGTCACCTATTCATCCTGTGAATACTCTGTTAAAATGTCTCTAGTGGAAACAAAGCTTCGGTGTTTATAGAAATGACTCCTGATGATCACATCACTTTCACCTGGAACTGTCTGCTATACCACATAAGGCAATTACAACCCTTTTCTGTTCTGACCATCAATTTGCCTGTGCAGACATGAATAATTAATATAATCCAAAAAAATGGAAGCCTTGTGTATTTGTCCTCCATGTGAAACATTAGTTCTTTTGCCCCATGTGAATCCAGTCACAATCTAGGGAAAAAGAAAACAGAGATTTTGCAAGCCTGTATACTTGTTAGAAAGATTTGCATAGGTAGGCATGACATACATTAGTAGTATTTTATATAGTTTTAAGGTTCTTAAGACAAATCATACAAACCAAAGATAGGGAAGAAAGGTATGCGTTAATGGATTATCACCTATACTATATAATTTCTATTGTGTACTGTTTGGGCAGCAATTGTGAATTTTCAACTATTATTTTCATTAGAAATCTTGAAAGATTTCTAAATATTAGAAAAGCAAATTGTTTACCCTAGAAAACCAAAATGTGTAAATTATCAAATCTTCATGTTAAATACATGATTGGAGGCATTTGTGTTGTTCACTGCTCTACCTTTTGAGGTGATTATTGTTGCTCTACTTTTCAGTTATTTTTATAGGAGATAGTAGTAGTAATATTTCAGCATTGGAAGACTGTGACTTGCTGGTGGTGGGGTGGAGTTGTTAAACTGTCAAGTCATGAGCTCTTGAACTTTTAAAAATTTGGCACAAAGTTTGCATTGAGCTGAATTGAAGCTTGCATATAGAGTGATGATGCTTTCAAAAATGCCTATTATAGATAGATTATGTTGTGTTTTTTGTTGCCTTATGAAGATGTTTCCCTTCAGTTAATGGATATTTGGATAGTAAAAAATGCATGCTCTTTTTGCATTGTTGAACTATCCTGAAGGTAATCTTATGCAATTCTTATACAGGGCATGGCTTTTTCATTGGAAGAAAGACAACAATTGAATATACACGGTCTTTTGCCTCCTTGCTTTCTCAGTCAAGATGTCCAGGTTTTAAGGATTCTTGTGAATTTTGAGAGACAAACATCTGACCTAGACAGGTAAAGTACTACTAAAGAACTTAATACTTTTTTCCCAGGTCATTGTTTGTTTTTTTTCACTTCTCTTGGGGGGGCGGGGGAGGGAATGTTGACCATGTTAATGAATAAACATGTTCTAATATTATATTTATTCTGCTGTTTTGTAACTGAAAATTTTATGAAGCTTCTGATGCTTAAAGAATGACAGAAAACATTACATTATCAAGCAGCATACAGTCGTCAAATATGTAAATAATTGTAAAAAAGACAATGATCATTACTTTTCCCTGTTCACTGAGGGTGTGACAAGAAATAGTTGATTTAGTTTTCTGGAAAACTAGATCAAGATGTTTTGTATTGGATGAAGTTGACTTGAAATTGCACCAGAAAAAAAAATCAACAAAACATTTCAAAGGTCTGAGGGGGTTTCCAGATTATGGGAGATTTAAGAGCCAAGAGCCGAAGTCTCCTTTACACTAAGCTCATTTATACCATTCTGGCAGTATAAAGGGATCTTAAAGTGGATATAAATTACATTACAATTAATTTACTAATCACATTTAAGTTAAAAGTTTAAGTTAATTTGCAGTGCAAAGTGGTATGGTTGCAATATTATGTAAAAAAAAAAAACCCAACCCTTTTTCGAAAGAACTGTAAATCTCATTTTTTTTTCAGGAGTAAGGGTTCTTTTGAAAAAGGGTTTTTTTTTTTGTTTGTTTTTTCAAAAGAACCCTGTCTAGACTCCTTTTTTTCCTGAAAAACCCTTTTTCAAAAAAGCACTCAGACGTGTTTATGCAAACGAAGCTCGAGATTTGTAAATTCATGCTTCATTTGCGTTTTCTATGTCTTTCATTTGCCTTCCTCTTTCAAGAGTGGAATGCAGTCTAGACATAGCCCATGTGATGCGCTCCATAAGCAAGGTCTTGGCTCCAACGTCAACGAGAGTTTTGCCGGAGATTTTAGTAGGATCAGGATTTCACTCTATAAATATGATTAAGTAATCTAGCTATGATACCTATAGTACTGTACAAGTCATCTTGTTTTGAGTTTCCTGTCTGGGCCATGTGGTAAATATTTGGTCCTCTTTTAGTTGATAGCAAAATACCTTCTCATAAACCCTTATGTGAGGAGAATGGTAGAGGTGGTCAGGTGTGTGTAATCACAGGCAGTCAGTACAGGTTAGCATTTTAGGGCATCTGCTTCTTAACGTCATTTAATTGATAATTTTAGTGAAACATTCAGTTAATAGATACAGGCATTGTCTTGTCCTTATGAAAAACTGCTAGATCAATATATCAAGATATTATAATAGCTAAAGCTGGTTTGAGCTGTTGCGAATCACATACTATATACAATGTTTGGCTAGGACATCTTGCTTATAAAAACTGCAGGATAAAACAGTATTTTATTTTAATTAAATGTCAGAATTTTTAATTTAAATTTAGGTATGAAACAAAACAGAACAATTATATATTTATAAAATATTGCAAGAGGTACATGCTTGGTTTGAATTGGGGCCCTTTAAACAAAAGTCTCCCAGCAGTTTTAAATTCCTTCTCCAAAAGATCATTTTACAGAATCTGGAAAACAGAATTGGTCTGAATAATAAGACTGGAGAATGAAAAGATCATTTGAGGGGTTTTAAATAACAGCAACTGATTTCAAAGGAAGTAGTAATAAAAGAAAAATGGGCAAGTATTCAGAATCAGAGACTGGTTCAGTCATCCGGCTTCCATGCATGCCTGAGCACTCTGGAATTGACCAGGCCACATTATTTATAAGTTCTCCACCTGTCACTCTTCAAGATCCCGTGGCAACGAAATGTATATCTCCAAAAATTCACCCTGGTAAACCTCATATGTAAGATGTGTTGATTGTGAATGGATCAGTATTTGATGATAGCGCAATCATATAAGTTAAAATATGGTGATTTACTTTTTAACAATATATGCTAAATACAGAGTTGATATTAAAAGCTAATAAGAATAAATATTTAATAATATACTTGAGACATATTTTTGAAAATACTTTTAGGAGAAAGGAATAAATATGTAACATGAATGTTCTTAATATTTGATATAAAATAATTCATTTGTATTATTTTAAAAAGTGATTTATGGCACTTGTTATGATGCTGTCTGTAATGATTTCATTTAATTTTTTTAGTTTAAAAAAAAATCTGAGGGTCTGGGTGCCTTTGACATTAACAATTTTTTTAAAAGCACCATCTCTTTTCTTCCTTAGTGCTGTCGTCATATGAGTTTACTTTTCCCATTGGATAGGTTAAAGGTTAATACTTAAAATAGCAACAACAAAGAGGGTATGAAAACTAAGTTTTGTTTACCAACATTAGCTGTGTTTCACATGTAGACTATTCTATACTTTTCTTTGTTAAACAGGAATCTTAATATATTTTGGTTTATTCTGTTAAATATATAAAATATATGTACAATGTGCATTTTAAAGTTCTTGACTGCAAATAATGTCTTATTCATTGTGAAATGGTAGGTAAATATTCTTGCATTTGGAAATAAACTGGGTTTTAAAATTTATACTTTGTTTTCTAATAAAAAAAAGTTTATAAAAAGTTTATTTTGCATAAAGTAAATTAAAATAGTGAGGCCAGATTTAAATCCATAACAAAAATCAAGAAATTCGGTCTTAAGGCTGAAAACTCTGATCCATATCCTAAACTGAGGTAAACTTGTGTAGCTTACAGCCATTGGAGTTATACCAATTTATTCCAGATGAGAATCTGATCCTGAATCTTTAAATCACCTTTTTCTACTTCACTTCAGATAAAGTTTCGGAACAGTGATAATTTTATCTATTGTGTGTAAAGCCATTGTTGTTGCCTTAGCAACCTACAGCAGTGAAACCTGGCAAATTAAGAAAACAGATGCTCAAAAGTTAGATGTGTTTCATCGTAAGTGCTTGTGGAGCATATTAGGAGCAAGCTATGAAGAAAGAAAAACAAACCATGAGGTCAGAACAATGGCATAAGCAAGGTCTCTTTTGTAAATAATTTGTAGATAAGACCGCAATTGCTAGGACATGTTACAAATGGATGCTAACTAACTACCGATTATGGCGCTCCATTGGAAACCAAATAATCCAGCAAAAAGAGGTGTAGACCTAGGATGATTTAGAGATGTATGATTATCAATGACATAGAAAATTTTATTTTGAATGGGAGGAGTTAGGCCACATGGCAGCTGATAAGCAAGCATAAAGAATGTGAGTAGTCCAATGTGCTGAAAAGAATGGGATGGACTAAGTTCTAAGGTAAGCTGTGTTATACAATAGATGATGAAAGAAGGATGAATTAAACACACACTCTCTCATTCTTTCCTTTTGCAATTCTAATTTAAACTCTGCAGTGCTTTTAAATGCAGAGCTACCATTGATTTTATTAGGAGATAAAGTACTTTTGTGGGATTCATTAGGAGCCAAGGAGGATTGCAGGATCAGGTGTTTTGTATGTGTGCCAGTACTGAAATCTATTAGAAGAGAGGTATGGAAAAACTAACACTCTCCTTGGATTGGAAAAAATTTCTCTGAGGTCCCGAGTAGAAAAATGAAACTTCCCCCCAACCTCCAGCAACTTTCTGAATATCCCTTTCAAAGCGCAACATTTGGCATGTATGGATTAAGGTTTAAGTCAGACCCACGTTGCTATTTTAGTACAAATACAGCATTTTATATTTGACAGGAATTAACTCCCTTCCCAAGCATTCGACTGTCATCTTTGCAATAGTTTCAGCTTCTGTCTACTCTCTCTGTCTCAATTTTGTTATCCTTTAGAACTGAAGCATTTGTGCTACTAAGATATGGTTAAATTTAAGTACCCTGCACCAGAGAGAGACTTTTGTCTGGAACAGAACTTTAATTCTCTACATACCTATCTTATTTTTTTAAACTATTTTAATGTACACTTGGATACCTGTCTAATTATATTTAATTCTCCACAGATACATTCTGTTAATGGGTCTTCAAGATCGAAATGAAAAGCTTTTCTACAAAGTGCTGACGTCTAACATTGAAAGGTTCATGCCTATTGTTTATACTCCCACTGTGGGTCTGGCTTGCCAACAATATGGTTTAGCATTTCGGAGGCCAAGGTGTGTAAGTTTATACTTCAAATAAACGTAATTCTATCTTTCTTTCCCTCTTGGCAGATTTCTGTAGGACTTTTTTTTAACATTGTTGAGTAAAACCCAAAACTGGAATAACGGAGACAATTTAGACTACATTAACTACATTTTTAGTCAAAGTTAAATGGTAATTTGTACTGCATTGCAAAGATAAACTGTTGTCTCTGTTAAAACATGTATGTATTTTATAATCTTATTAAGCCTAATTAGGCTTTCCTAGACTCTCAGCTGCATTTGTTACATGTCAGCAAAAGAATAAATTGTCCCTGATCCAAATTTAGTTAATCAGGCTGAACAGTATTGGTCTTAGAAAGTGCACACCCATCCCATCTCCCTATATATACATACAGAGAGAGAAAAAGGAATGTGTTCACAATTTTTATAACATTCTCTCATAAGAACATAAGAACGGCTGTACTGGGTCAGACCAAAGGTCCATCTAGCCCAGTATCCTGTCTACTGACAGTGGCCAGCACCAGGTGCCCTAGAGAGGGTGGACCAAAGACAATGATCAAGCGATTTGTCTCCTGCCATCCCTCTCCAGCCTCTGACAGACAGAGGCCAAGGACACCATTTTATCTCCTGGCTAAATAGTCTTTTATGGACCTAACCTCCATGAAATTATCTAGCTTCTCTTTAAACTCTATTATAGTCCTAGCCTTCACAGCCTCCTCTGGCAAGGAGTTCCACAGGTTGACTACACGCTGTGTGAAGAAGAACTTTCTTTTATTAGTTTTAAACCTGCTCCCCATTCATTTCATTTGGTGTCCTCTAGTTCTTCTATTTAGGGAACTAATAAATAACTTTTCTTTATCGGCCCTCTCCACACCACTCATGATTTTATATACCTCTATCATATCCCCCCTCAGTCTCCTCTTTTCTAAACTGAAAAGTCCCAGTCGCTTTAACCTCTTCTCATATGGGACCTGTTCCAAACCCCTAATCATTTTAGTTGCCGTTTTCTGAACCCTTTCCAAGGCCAAAATATCTTTTTTGAGGTGAGGACACCACATCTGTACACAGTATTCAAGATGTGGGCGTACCATAGTTTTATACAGGGGCAGTAAGATATTCTGGGTCTTATTTTCTATCCCTTTCTTAATAATTCCTAGCATCCTATTTGCCTTTTTGACCGTCACTGCACACTGTGTGGAAGTTTTCGGAGAACTGTCCACGATAACTCCAAGATCTCTTTCCTGATTTGTCGTAGCCAAATTAGCCCCCATCATACTGTACGTATAGTTGGGGATATTTTTCCCAATGTGCATTACTTTACACTTATCCACATTAAATTTCATTTGCCATTTTGATGCCCAATCACTCAGTTTGGTGAGATCTTCTTGGAGTCCCTCACTGTCTGCTTCTGTCTTGACTATCCTAAACAGTTTTGTATCATCTGCATCTCTCATTTTCTTCCTGGAATTAGTTTTTATTTGGGAAAATAATATGTGAAGATGCAGCATATAAAAAGACAGGAAAAGACCCTATCTGTCATACTAGGCAGCCCCCTAAAATCACTTTAATTTTTCTGCCAACTTTTTTTGTTTTAGTTTTCTTTTTAGGTTATCAAAATCCTATCATTTTGTATATCAGTATTTATGAGACCTACCTGTCTCTTTCTGACATTATAAACCTGCATTTGAGGATGTCTTGAGCCACATAATTAAAATGTCACTATTCAAAAAGATTAATAATACAATTTAAAGGGATGAATTATCTGCTGGTGTAAATCAGGTAACTCTACTGAAGTCAGTGGAGCTATGTAAGTTTGTAAGAGCTGAAGATCTGGTCCAACAACTTAAATTCTTTATAGGATAAAGTTCAGGCTCCTTTAATTTCCCCACACTGATACTTGGCAGGAAATGGTGGGAGAGAAAGGGAGAAATAGGGTGTAACTTTGGTGATATTCTCCTCTAACTAAATCCATGGTGTTAGTTCCCTGCAGATCTGCTGAGGTTAAGCTGTTCCACAAGTGTTCTGCACCCATCTGTACTACTTTAATGCAATCATAAGCATAGGTGCTGGAACTAGGGGGTTGGGATGCTACTTCACCTCCTGACTTGAAATGGTTTCCCCATATGCGTCAGCAGCTGCAATATACAGATTGTTCCAGCACCCTTGATCACAAGAACTCCTGACAGGAATATTTTGACTTGCTGTTCAGGAGCTGTGCTTAGCATAAACATAATGTAAAACTTTGTTTTGGAAGATTTGATGCTGTTTTGTGCCAAAAAGGAGAGATCTCTGATGAGGTTTATATGAGTTTCCTGTTAACAGAGCCAGCCTTTCAGATCAAACCTTGAAGTCAACAGTGTAACTTAACAAATTGCTAGGGATGAAAGGAGAAATCAGCTGGGTTCCATATTTGCAGCAGCAGGAGTCTTTGTGGCAAGGAGGAGAGAGCTGTATTTTTAGATATGTGTTGCACTAACTAAGCCTGGAGGTCATGGTGAGCTGCCTGGGTATAACTTTGGCAGCACATCACTGGCAGAGATGGCCTGATTTTTTCCCACTACTCCTTTAGAACAGTACTATTTAATTTTAAGATTAATTCCACACTAATAAATGCATCACTGTATATAGTTATTCTTTAGTATCATTTGTTTCAGGTATATACTGGAATATGACAATGGCATATCAGCATTTTTTATTTGGCAAACTTTTACAAGTTTCCACTGTACAATAATCTCTGTTTTGTAATGATAATTCAATAGGATCATAAAGCATTATTGATCTTCACTCACTCTCGTATTTAGTTTAATTCTTCTTTTCCCTATGTTCAGTTTTTTAAAAGGCTCAAATATTAGGCAGGTATGAATGATTGATTTATCAAAGGAAAGACATACTGGCAGCAATTAATTTATCAAGCAGTATTTATTATGGTGGATAGTTAAGCATTAAAGAGGCAGCTGTCAGTGGCATTGAGCTGCACGCCATTTTGCTTTGAGATAGGCCAGTGATGTTGCCTTGTTGGCACAGTTTAGTGAACTGCTGCAGCTGATGGCTCAACTGGCTGGGTAAGATGCAGCATACATTGATTTGGTTATCAATCAGAACAAAGTTACGTGCTGGAAGATGTCTATAACTGAAGTCACTACCACCTTTGGAAGCCTTCCATGGCCCCTGTGGAGATGCCATGATATCAATCTTTCTGTGAAGCTGCATAGCTACAGGATTGCAGTTTATACTAACATTAACATATGTCAGTGATACATGAGTGCTAGAGAAGCTGAAGAGAAGCGGACTCACGTTTGTAATTCTCATTGTCATCTGCTCCCTATTAAGTGCTAAGCTGTGGCCCTTCGGGTATGTTGGAGTGGTGGGGGTGCACTTACTTTCTGCCCTCTTATGGTCATTCTGGAGTATCACTGTTCCTGGTATCACAGCCCTCCCTTTCTGCTTGATGAGAATTAATCACATTACACACACATCCCATTGTCATGACAGAATCCAGACACTTACCTTGGTTTTAAGTTATAAGAGGAAGCTGTATATCAAATTTGGTGGACCTAGATCTTACCATTTAGGAGGAGTTCTTGAACAAACAGACTCACAGATGAACAGATAAACCAACAGACATGCATACTCTCAAATATATAATAGATTAAGAAATGCCTACTGCAGGCTATTCTATTATATGATCTTTATCAGAATGTGTTTAATTTCTTAATAGCATTTAAAAAGCTTGAGACCAAAATGATTAGGGGGCTGGAGCATATGACATATCAGGAGAGGCTGAGGGAGTTGGGTCTGTTTAGTCTACAGAAGCGAAGAGTGAGGGGGGATTTGATAGCAGCCTTCAACTTCCTGAAGGGAGGTTCCAAAGAGGATGGAGAAAGGCTGTTCTCAGTTGTGACAGATGGCAGAACAAGGAGCAGTGGTCTCAAGTTGTGGTGGGAGAGGTCCAGGTTGGATATTAGGAAAAACTATTTCACGTGGGCTACGTCTACATTGGCAAGACTTTGCGCAAATACTCTTTAATGCAAGAGTTTTTGCTTTAGAGTATTTGCGCAAGAGAGCGTCTACACTGGCATGTGCCTTTGCGCAAGAGATGTGCTTTTGTGCAAGAGCATCCGTGCCAGTGTAGACGCTCTCTCTTGCGCAAGAAAGCTCCGATGGCCATTTTAGCCATCGGGCTTTCTTGTGCAAGAAATTCATGTTGCCTGTCTACACTGGCCTCTTCTGCAAGAACAGTTGTGCAAGAGGGCTTATTCCTGAGCGGGAGCATCATAGTTCTTGCACAAGAAGCACTGATTTCACACATTAGAACATCAGTGTTCTTGCGCAAGAACTCCCTGCCAGTGTAGACAGGTAGCATGTTTTTCCGCAAAAGTGGCTGCTTTGGCGCAAGATCGCGCCAACGTACACACAGCCTAAGAGTGGTGAAGCACTGGAATGGGTTACCTAGGGAAGTAGAGGAGTCTCCATCCCTAGAGGTCTTGAAGTCTTGGCTTGACAAAGCCCTGGCTGGGTTGATTTAGTTGGGATTGGTCCTGCCTAGAGCAGGGGGCTGGACTTGATGACCTTCTGAGGTCTCTTCCAGCTCTATGGTTCTATGATTCTGTGACTTTTATATTAATTATTAAAGGTCAAAAACTATAAAAAGTGAAGATGTTTTGAAGATTATTGATACTTGCAATTAATTAGGTATCTTTTGACTTTCAAATATTGTATTATTTAATTAACTTAAATGGAGTTTGGTATCTTTAATTGTCTTTGTGTTGAACTATCAAATGTTGTTATACATTTGTGCTTCACATATGTTACTGACCCAATGAAAGCTGTGAGTAATACATTTGTGAAGATTTATTTTAACTAACAGCAAGAGTTCTACCAAACAATTTTTCAAGACTAACTTCCTCAGAGTTGGTCTTAGGACTAACGGGGTGGAGGAAGTCTGTAAAATGATTCTTTGATACACCAATTAGCTAGCTCATATTATATTAAAAGGAAGACTTTTCATTCCC